TGATTTTGGAAAACATACTGGCATCAACCAGGTCTAAGCCGAGGTGTGTTTCCGAGGGCCACATGCAAGGAAAAGAGGTCGGGAAACTCTGGGTTTTCCCTCTGTTGATGAATATGAAGAACATGAGTATGAAAACATAGAAAATATGAATGTTCGATCACGATCTGTTATCACAAATCTGGGATTTTCATGTTACGGGTTTGAAAACATGGACCTGGGTACCCATAGTTGAAAATCATGCAAGAACAAACACAAAACATGAGTCTAGGCAAAAAGCTTTCGGATCAAAACATGACTTTTCTTGAAGAACACATGAATGTCATTTTCTCTTTCTAAAACCGAATTTCAAGACAATGCATGGCTTACAAATCATATCCGATCATGCAATGCAATAACATGAACATAGAGAACGTCATGAGCAGATCAAGAATCTAACCTTAGTACACGGATCTAACGGTTCGATCTCTAGGAATCAAGCTTGAAGATCTACTTCCTCACTCTAAAACTCTTTCTTCCTCCTAGAGCTTCTCTCTCTACAAGGCAAGTTTATGACACCAAATGATAGTTTTCTTTACCCGGTTCTGGGGTTAACCCTCTGCTGAGACACGTGGCGAGTTTTTGATTCCAAATGATAGTTTTCTTTACTCGGTTCTGGGGTTAACCCTCTGCTGAGACACGTGGCGGCGACTGATTGGGTTCATCCGGAAAAGGTGGCTGACAGACCAGACAAAGCATGGTGGAAGGGTGTTCAACAAGCAAAGCGGTATGGGCTCTCTGCCAGGGCAAAGACATCGGCTAATCATCAAGGCGTATCTAACAAGCTTCACAGAATGACACTCCGGCAAGGGGTGACATCGGCTAACAAAGGACTTCAGCAACTAGGGCGACAATGACCTCGGCTAGGAAGGACAACACTTGACTAAGCTGTGCCACATCTTGGCCTAGATGCGCCACACCTCGGTCTAGGTCATACCACTCCAGGACGAGATCACTTGGGTGCAAGGTAACATCTCGGCTAATAGATGCGCCACACCTCGGTCTAGGTCATACCACTCCAGGACGAGTTCACTGGGGTGCAGGGTAACATCTCGGCTAATGTGTTCAAGGCAATGACGGAGGTCAACAAGGGGTTCCAAGATACTAATGCCAGACTAAGGATGACCTCGGCATAGGAACAACGTCGGCTAAACATAACTCAGACAAGCACATAACACTTAGACAAATCACAAAGGTACCAAATCAAGACATGGATCACATTAACTCAACGAAACAATCGCAACACACACATGCAAGCTAAACAAGTCACAATCATACAAATGCTCATGAACATGATTAAGATGAAAAATGTGGGTTCTTACAGTCTACCCTCCTTAAGGAAGTTTGGTCCCCAAACTTAAGTTACCTTGTCCCACAAATAACTCCGGATAACAGATTTCCATTTCTTCTTCCTTTTCCCACGTGGCTTCCTTGCCATAATGCTCCAACCATTCAATTTTTACCATCGATATCGACTTATTTCTCAACTGTCTCACTTGTCTGTCAATAATCCTCATCGGTCTCTCTTCGTAGCCTAGATCTTTATTAACCACAACCCCGGAATAATCTATTACATGCAGTGGGTCTCGGATGTATTTCCTCAACATCGAAACATGGAACACGCTGTGGACTTGACTCAACTCTGGTGGCAATGCAAGTCTGTAAGCAACGGTGCTAATCCTCTCAAGAATTTCAAATGGTCCAACGTATCGGGGTGCAAGTTTGCCCTTCTTCCCAAATCTCGTAACTCCTGTCATCGGCGAGACCTTCAAAAATACATGATCCCCAATTTCAAATTCTAACTCCCTCCTTCTTCGGTCGGCATAGCACTTCTGTCGACTCTGTGCAGTCTTAATCCTCTGCTGAATGAGTTTGATCTTTTCCGTTGTCATCCGAACCAATTCGGGGCCAATTAGAGCTTCGTCTCCCACTTCAGTCCAACATATCGGCGATCTGCACTCCCTTCCATACAAAGCTTCATACGGCGCCATGCCTATGCTGGCTTGATAACTGTTGTTGTACGCGAACTCCACTAATGGCAAATGCGATTCCCAGCTTCCTTGAAAATCTAGCACGCACAATCTGAGCATGTCTTCGAGTGTCTGAATCATTCTTTCTGTCTGCCCGTCGGTCTGGGGGTGAAAGGCTGTGCTAAATCTCAACTCTGTTCCCAAGGCTCCTTGTAGACTCTGCCAAAATCTAGAAACGAACTTCGGGTCTCGGTCTGACACAATGGACATCGGCACACCGTGGAGTCTAACGATCTCATTCATGTACAACTCGGCAAGTCGGTCGGCATTGAATGTATTCTTGACAGGCAAGAAGTGAGCTGACTTAGTAAATCTGTCGACTATAACCCATACGGAATTCATACCTCTTTGCGTCCTCGGCAAACCCACTACGAAATCCATGGAGATGTGCTCCCATTTCCACTCAGGAATTGACAAGGGTTGAAGAAGTCCTGCTGGTCTCTGGTGTTCTGCTTTCACTCGCTGACAACTCAGACACTGAGATACATCGGCTATCTCTCTTTTCATGTTTGGCCACCAAAAGGTCCGCTTTACGTCTTGATACATCTTGGTGCTCCCTGGGTGAACGGCAAACTTGGAGTTATGGGCTTCTTGCAAAATCTTTCTCTTCAACTCTGGCACGTCGGCCACGCACAATCTCCCTTCAAACTTAAGCACTTGGTTCTCAATGGTATATCCTGGCCTCGGCTTGGTGACGAATTCATCAATTACTCTTTTAAGGAATTTGTCTTCCATCTGTCTAGTCTTCACTTCCTCAATAATGGTCGGCTCTACTGAAATTGTCGTCAGGCACGCCACACTTCCAACCAACTTCCTGCTCAATGCGTCGGCTACGGAATTTGCCTTACCCGGATGGTACTGAATCTGCATGTCGTAGTCCTTTAATAACTCAAGCCATCTTCTCTGCCTCATATTTAACTCTTTCTGGGTGAACAAGTACTTCAGACTCTTGTGGTCGGTGAAAACTTGGCAAGATGCTCCATACAAGTAATGACGCCATATCTTCAAAGCAAAAACCACGGCAGCTAGCTCCAAATCATGGGTAGGATAATTCTTTTCATTGGGCTTCAACTGACGAGACGCATACGCTATGACCTTACCTTCTTGCATTAACACGCAACCCAAACCCTTATGTGAAGCATCACTGTAAATCTGAAATTCCTCATTAGTCGATGGCAGTACGAGGACTGGTGCTGTAACTAACCTCGTCTTCAGCTCCTGGAAGGCTGATTCTCTTTCATTGGTCCATTCGTATGCTGCTCCCTTCTTAGTTAGTTGTGTCAGTGGTACTGCAATCCTCGAGAAGTCCTTCACAAACTTTCTGTAATACCCTGCCAAGCCCAGAAAACTACGAACCTCAGTCACGTTTGTCGGCGCTGGCCAATTCACAATGGCTTCAATCTTACTGGGGTCAACTGATATACCATCTTCATTAATCACATGCCCTAAAAATGAAATGCTGGAAAGCCAAAACTCACATTTGCTCAACTTGGCGTACAACTCCTTGTCTCTCAAGATTTGCAGGGCAAGCCTCAGATGATTCCCGTGTTCACTCGTACTTTGGGAATAGATCAGTATGTCGTCAATGAAAACAACTACGAACTCGTCTAGATACGGCTTAAAGACTGTTTTTTGCTGAGTGTGGTTGATACACCTCTGTGAGCTCCGGATTAGTTAGTTAAACTACGGAGAAGATTTGATCTTTATAAGTATGCTTTTACAGCCAGAGTCGTTTCATGAATAATCTATGTCCGTATCCGATAAGAGAAGAGAACTTTGGTGTCTGATTGGTTGTCTATTCATGTCTTTCTGAAGATTATCATGCCTACGGTTTATTGATAGTTTGGATGTTATGTGGAAAGTTGTCCCTCGTTCTATTTGTCCGTTTCGAGATCTTTGTAGATGTTTTTTATTGCGAGTCTTGCCTTTTTTCATTTAAGCTTTACCCCTGCACAAGTTTTTTCCGGTTTATGTTTACTATGTATTCGTGTTTCATTGTGAGTATTAGCTTCTTATATATGTGTTAATCCGCGTATCCATCAATCATGTGTTGGATTGACTGATTAAGATTGATAGATTTTTCATTGAATGATACCTTACGGTCTTTGATAGACGCGGATTTCAAGTTTTTTGCACTTGTTTCCAAAACATCCCTTTTGTCAAATGATTTTGTGATAATTCATCCACGGAGTGTATGAATGCCACTTGGAACTGTGAGGATTAGAAATTTCCGTGAAATAATATCCAACATATTTTGTTGATCTGTAATCTTAAATTTTAAACTTTGTTATTTTTTATTATATGTAACTTAAGAATCTTTTATCCACCTTATTTTAAGTCTGTGTTAAAAAATCATTGAGTTATGTGTTTGTAATTATGGGTTGTATTTTGAAACTGCTCTTTATTATTAGAATTTTAGTTGTATTATCATTTCATATGTTTTATTGTCATTGTTAAGTGGTTTTCATTTTATATATGTGTATTGAACTATTATTTGAATGTTAACATTGAAAGTTAATTAATTGTCATAATATTATTGATACTAAGTTTGAGATTATGTTGTGCTTATATATTTAATTCGAGATGCCTTCTTGAAAATGAGTGTATGGAAATTTATGTAAACCATATTTTGTTGGTCAAAATATTGTTTTTACTAAAAAAAAAAAAATTCTTGTTTGCAAAAACTTATTGCTTAAATTCCGGGATTTAATATCTTTTTGAAGGGTGTGGTTATTAGCGACCCCGTCTTCTTCCCATTTTCATTTTTGTTTATCCCTGATTCTTTAGTGTTCCTAATCTGTTTTTATTTATTATTATTGTTGTTGTTTGTTTTCCTTGATTTTCTCATTTGATCTTTTAGATGTGTTGGTGTCAGTGTTGTTTCAAGTTTGTGGTTTAGAAAACCTAGTGTTTGCTTTCCAGCTTTTTTGGTCATTCGCTCCGAGCGAGAGTTGTCGCTTAATACGACGTTAAAGTTTTTTTTTTTTTTTTTTTTATTTTTTTTTGCGTTTCCAGAATGGACCTGTAGTGCTTTGTTTTTATTCTGGCTCGAGCGAGATTTCTTCGCCGAGCGAGTTGTTCGTTTCTTTCCTTTCTGAAGACATGTGTTTCTTTTAAGTTCTCGAGCGTGTGGTTCTTGGTATTCATACTACTGAGTTTAGTTCTTTTAGCTTCGATCGAGGCTTCCTTTTCGCTCTTGAGCATATATGTATTAAACCTCACATTTTTCATCTTAATTCATGTCTATTTAGTCATTTTTGTATTGATTTATTGATCTTGTTAATTCTGGATGGTGTATTTTTACGTTTTTGTCTTAGCAATGAATCCTGTTCTATTGTTTGTGAAGCTTGTATTGTCGTAGTTGTGGTGCTTGCCTAAGTTATTGTGTTAGTCCGACGTTTATGCTATATCATTCCAAAGCTCAGGTTCATTCTCAGTCTAAGAGTATCTTGGAACCCCTTTATTGACCTCCGTCCTTTGCCTTGACACATTAGCCGAGATTTACCTTCACCAATGATCTTCTTCCTGATGTATGACCCAGACGAGGTTGCCATCCTAGGCCTATGATTGTTGCACTAGCTAGTCTAAGTTTTGTCCTTCTCTACCTGAGTCACTGTCACTCTTTATTTGTCTCGAAGTTCCTTTTTGTTTAGCCGATGTCCACCCCTTGTCCGGAGTGTTTATTCTTGTTAGTGTTCTTGTTATATTTACGCTCTCTGTATGATAGCGACGTTCATTCTTCTTCTGTTCAATTAAGAAAGCCATACCGTCTTGTTGTGTTGTATATTTCACCCTTCCTACCATGCTTTTTCTTGGCTGTGTTTTCAGTCTCACCTTTTCAGCAAGAATCCCAATTCAGTCTTTGCCTCACTGGTGAGGTCTCAGCAGAGGTTAACCCCAGTTAACCGGGTATAATCATTTTGATATCAAAATACTTTTCTTGTAGAGAAGAAGCTCTAAGAGGAAGTTAAAAGATTTGATTGATAAGTTATGATTCTCCATAGTGCTTTGATCCTAGAGATTTCATTACCGTTAAATCCTTGTTCATATGTGTCAGATCTTTTTGATTCTGTTTCTCATTGTTATTTTCTCTAGTTCATGTTATTGTCATTGGCATGATTGATTTATATGAATTTGTAAGTCCATCATTGTGTTCTTGAAATTCGTTTTAGAAAGAGAAAATGATGTTCATGTTTCTTTTCAGAAATTTTCACAGTTTGAATCTCTGTTAAAATCTTATGACCTACCTTTTCAATGGTTTGATGTGGTTATATTTAGTTTGTTTATGATTTTCCATTTATGTGTACCCAGTTCCAGTTTTTTTCAAAATAAACCCGGTAACATGAAAACCTTCAAATTTTGTTTATTTAAAACAATTCTTTTGATTTCGAACTACATTTTCATTTATAATTTTCTCTTGTTTTTCAATCTCATTTTCTTCATATTCATCATCAAGGTTGATAAACCAGAGTTTCCCGACCTCTTTTAACATGCAATGTGGCCTCTCCTGTTGATATTATACACCACCTTTCGCTTAGACTCTGGTTGGCCCAATTTAGTTTTTTCCAAATCATTCATGCATGTTTAGACTGTGTTTTGAGAATATGATTCAAGTACGCTTTTCCATTTGTTATTGTAGGACTGCGATACTTGCTGATTCCCTGTACTTTTGTAAGAATTTTTATGTGTAGTTGTTATTTTTAATATATGCTATGCTTTTACACTTT